ATATTACTGTTTGCTGTTTAGGATCCCCATTAGCTGGGCGTTACACCCAGCTACACTTACTGGGGTCAATCATTAAAAATACATACAATAAAAATATTCAAAAAATATGACAAAAGTAACATACATATCAATTCAATTATTAGTTACAGTTCATTTATAAAAATTATCCATTTATAAATAAAATACAATAATTAACCATTTCATTTTTATATATAAGTTGCTCCAACAATGCTTTTCAATATCTTTTTGAAAAATAACTTTTGTTCAGTTTTTATAAGCATTAATGGTAAAGAGTTCTATTTTATTGCTCTTTAAGTAAAGGTGCATTTAAGAAAATTTGTTTTTGGCTGAGGAATTCGAAAACGTCCTTCAGCTGTATATGACTGGTAGCATATCAGTGTAAGTTTAAATTATTATGTTAACTGGACAAACCAAAAGGCTGGACTTTGGAGTTTTAARATTTTCCATGTTCTGAATAGTGAAGCCATATCATGGGCTTTTAGCCAACCAAGATTTGAGTGCACGGTATTTATGCTAGTTCTGTAAGAACAATTCAGTGTTAAACGGGTGGCTTTATTCTACATTAATTACAGTCTATCTAAATCTGTTCTCCTTGCATTTGCCCGTATTGTCTGACCATAATCAAGCAGAGAAATAATTAACGTTCTTACAACAAGCTTYGTCAAAACAACTGGCAAAAATTATCTTCTACATGTCTTGACCAATACAGTTTGTTATCAAGATAGACCCCAAGAAGTTTTACTTCTGTTACTTGTTCAATGGGTCTGTTATTTCTTAACAAATTTAATTTTAGGTCACATGTRAGAGCGTAGTACTAAACCTTTTGTCTTTAATGTATTTAATATTAACTTATTGTCTAATACCCAGTGCTCTACATTTTCTAAATCATTATTTAAAATTGATGTCAAATCAGATATTGATTTTGCACATACACTGTAATATCATCAGCATACATTGTTAATTTTGCATTCTTTAACCTAAGAGGCAGATCATTTGTAAAAAAAATAGCATTTAAAAGTGGGCCAAGGAAGCTGCCTTGTGGTATCCCACAGTCCACTGACACCCTTTTTGAAACCTATCAGACAAATAACCTTTCATCAATGTTAGTGCAGATGGTTTAAAACCATACAGCTCAAGTTTTTCTAAAAGCAGTCTATGGTCAATCACATAATAGAAGACTAAAAAACTGAAACATACAGATGAGGTCCAAAACTAACCAGATTCCATATGTTGACAAATAATTATCTAATTATACAGAAATATGTCAACAATATCATAAGTCCATCTAAATATAATTTAGAGTCATTGGGACGTACTTCTCTTTGAGATGCTTCTCAAGTTTTGCAACTGCTTCCCTGGTGGACTGAGCCTTCTCTAGAAGAAGACCCTGGTTCTTTGGACCGAGCTCTATATCTGCTGCCATTTCCAACAGAATATCWGCTCGCACAGAATACTCCTCCAACTCTATAAAGAGCTCCTACAGAAAAAAAAAATCAGAAATTAATAATACACAGTAAATATACACGTCACATTTTGTGCATACACACCTTGATGTGCTCCAGTTCACTTTTCAGGCTCTCCAAGCTGTTAAAAATAAGTTGTTTGTGTAGTTCATCCTCAGTATTGGTGATAAACCTCCACACTGCTTCTCTTTCCAGCTCAAAAGTTTGCCAAGAGCTCAGAGTTGCCTTGACAAAGAAACAAAATGCTGACTTTAGGCAGTAACTTGAACACTGCATCAACTATGGTATTTTAAAGACATTCAAATACTGAAATGACAACTTGGTTCTGTGATTTTATYTTAAAATCCAACTWGAGAATGTGCATATCAYGCAAAAATGCAGTGTGAATKCTTAATGCTGAATAGCTGAAACAAGCCTAACAATAGCTTAAAATAGCTGAAATAGGKGAAATTAGCACAAATAAAACAGAAAAAGCACATTTTCCAAACTRAGCATGAGAAATTACTGTATTATAAAAAGTGAATTTAGCTAAAAAATTCTCAAATTAACTAGAAAGTAGCTAAAACGCTGAAAAACGCTAAAATGAGAAGAAACAAGTTGAATGAAGCACAAAATGGTTGAAATAAAAAGAACAGCAGAAAAGATCAGAATGATTGCTAATAAGCAGAAAACGGCTAAAATCAGCTAAAGAGAAGCCAAAGGAAGCTGGAATTGGCACAAATGACTTAAAAAGCATAACTAGAATAAAAAGTTAAAAGGTTTTAAGGATGTTGAAAACAGCATCATTAATTTTCATTGAGAAAAAGATGCAGAGAAAGCTCAAAAAGTCCTGACTGAGCTGAACGTTTTGATACATTGTTGAAATAGAACAGAAAATGTGGAATGAGATACGTGTCAAAAAATGTACAGAAGAAAAAAATGATCACAATAAATGTCCATGACACGTGAAAAAGACTGTGGCACAGCTTACCTGCAGGTTTTGCTCTCTTGCTCCAGATTTGCGATCAACTTCGCTGAAAGCTCCCTCCAGCGTCTGACTCAGCTCCTCACCAGACTGCAGCTGGCTGCAGTGGGACACCAGCAGCTCCACCTCTTTCCTGTTGGCGTTCAGCCGCTTCAGGTGTTGCTTTAATTAACATAAACAACATAAAACAGTCTTTTGCATGAACCAGTACAGTTTATTTTTTTATTTATTTATTTTTTTCAAAAAACCTAACTACTAGTAGTTTGAAGTAATTCTCATGATATCGCAGAAACTCATAACACGAAAAATTTTCTCTGGTGCTGTTTTTTGTGTTTTTAAGCTAATTATTAAAAACAATATAATTTACTAATTTTGTAAAATAAGCATCAATTCAGTTCCATAAAAAATAAATAAGCATGTTCTGTGCCCACACTTCCCCCGGATTGTAGCATTTCTGCCATATAACCGCACCGTGTGGCGTGTAGCTGCAAACTATTTAGCTCTCATGTGTTTTTGTTTGGTTCTTACTGCATTTTAATGCTACCCCATGCAMACTGTAGGCCTTTTCTGGACTGCATCCAATATTTGTCTTTTTTTTCATGATTCGCGGGTAATTTAAAAACGTAACCCCGAGAAAATCAGGGATTTACCTTATATGTTTTAAAAAGACAGCAAACTACTTTACTTCTAGCACTGCTTAGACCAGAGATTCTTAACCTATGGGCCGAGTGCCACCTTGAGGGCCTCAAAAGGACAACAGTTTTTAACTTTGGGCCACAAAGGGCCGCAGGGCCGCATTGATTTTGAATAAGGTGCAATACACTTTCTCACCACTAGTAGCGGTAGTGTGCCACTCAGATGTTTAACAGCTTTTTAATGTGTAGAAGAAGAACCTTAGATACCAGCCAAGAATGGAAACCTATTTTAAATTAAATGTAGAAGCAAAAATGAAGGCAACCCATCAAAAAATGCCAAAGCTTGACTCTAATATGAGGAGCAGCTTCTGGTTCTACCATGCAATATTTTAAAAGTTCAAAACATTATCAGATATGGTTGCAGATACAGCTATATTGTAATCTGCACTTCAAATTAATTTTGTAGTTTATTTTTAAACATTTTGACTGTATTTTAAAGAAACTTTAAAGATGTCGAAAACCTGTTGTTACTGTTATTGTTTGTCACTAATGTGAAGAGCAGCTTCTGTTCCTACCATGCAAARGTTTAAAAAGGCTTTATTTTCATTTGCACTTAATCAAATTTGGTTTTACAGGATTTTTTTTATTTGAAACAGTTACATTGAACATTTTGAATGTATTTATTTTATGACCACAATTGAGTTGTCTATTTTTGTTATTGTTTATGTTTAAAAAATGTTATTTTTGTGTTGACCATTGTATAATTTCAAATAATTGTTATGGGCAGGTTGCAATATAAAAAAATGTTTGTCATAATCATGTCTTGTGATTATTTGACAGGAGTTTTACTTTTTAGAATAATTATCATTTTAATCAGTTCATTGTTAATGTCTGACTGGGCCTCGTGCCGCTTTATGTTCAACAAATTGGGCCCTGAGGTCARAAAGGTTAAGAACCCCTGGCTTAGACTAACTGCTAGCTCTGTAATCTAGGGTATTTTTTATACTAAGGTTGTTCAAAAAGCCAACTATAACAGATAAGATATTAATTGTTCATAATTGTTTCACAGAAACCCATCTTAAAGTGTGTAAACTATCATTTTAATATAAATATTTAATAAAGATTGAAGTGAAATACATTTGAAAATAAACCCTGATTTACTAAAAATGCCTCTACAGGACACACCTGGTGAACCAGGTACAGCTGTTTGGCCTCCTCCAGGCTCTCGGCATTCAGAATTCTGCTCATTTGCTCCTCGGCCTCTTTTTGAGCCGTTAAAACCTCCTCCAGGGCACCGTGCACTTTATCCCTCAGCTCCTCATACTGGAACATAGGAGCGCCTTCCTCTCCCAGCTGTAGCAGAGGGACGCGTTATCGRCACAGTAACAGAAGAAATAAATCACTGAGATATAAAACTGTATTAATAACGGTATACCTGACAGAGGGAAGATAAGAGCGCTCGCAGGTCAGATGAAAGTTTGGCCAGCGCCGCTCTTTGTCTCTGGACTTCCACTTCAGGGCTGACCTCAGACAGCGCCACCAGGCGACTCTTTAGCCACAAAAGACTCTCTTCTCGGGCATTCACTGCCTGCTGTAGTGCCTAAAATGGATGTGAGCACGAGGACATGAATGGCGTTATCATAACACTGTATTTGCCATATTCCAAAATAAATTCAACGTCTTCGCCCACCTGAACAGCAGCATCGAGCTGCTCCTGATGCCGGGAATCCACGGCAGTCTCCCTCAAAAGCCTCACCTGCCCTTTCTGAGATGACAGCCAGTCAGAAAGCTCACAGAACCTGAAACATAAACAATATTTTCAACTGAATTTGCATTTCCTGTGAAAATGCAGCGTGAATGCTTGATGCTGAAAAATGTTTGCTGAATAGCTAAAAATGCCGAAAATAGCCTGAAATAGCTGAAATTAGTACAAAGACAGAGAATGAGCACATTTGCTGAATTAGGTAAGAAGCTTAGGTTAGGTTAGGTTAGTTTAGGAGGACTGCAGATGTATACTAGCCTTAGGCTAAATCTGGTGCAATGCATCAAATGTTTTTATGTTTATGTTTTAATTGCACATTGTCCTCATAAATAAATAAAAATTCAAATTCAAGCTCAAATAATCAGAATGATGTGAATTCACCTGTAAAAAAAAAGCTCAAATAAGAGAAAAAGTAACTAAAAACACAGGAAACAGCTAAAATAAAATAAAAAAAACAGCTGGAAAAAGCTTRAAAGTCTTAAAAAAGCAAAACGAAACACAAAAGTTGAAATTAGAAGAACAATAGAAGAGAAAGCCAGAATGATAGCTAAAGAAGCAGAAAAATAAAACCAGCTAAATAGAGGCCGAAGGAAGCTAAAATTAGCAAAAAGTTAAAGAAGGGAGAGCCAGAACAAAAGGTAAAAAGTACAGTAAGGATTTATAAAAATTTTGAAGGGTTTTAAAGATGTTGAAGGCAGCTCTATTCAGTCTCGATGGATGAAATCTTTGCAGTACGAGATACGTGCCGAAAACATATGAAAGAAAAAATGATCTCAGTAGAGTGGATGCTTTATAAGCTTTTTACAGCCATCTGATCTAAACTAAGCAACTTGTCTGCCTTTGATCGAGCGTACCTCTCATTCCACTCTTTCCATTTGTCAGGGTGCTGCTCCAGTTTCAGGTGGACGATTTTTATTTGCTCCTTAACTTCCTCTACGGCCATTCTTGTAGAGTCAAGTGTACGATAAGCTGAATCGTTGTCAGGCAGCTTTTGGCACAGATCTTCCATGTTTCTAATTCTTTTCTCACATAAAGCCAAAGGTTTGCGCTCTTTGAAGAAGGTCTGTGGGCAAAAGGAAAATGTTGAACCGTTTAATGTTCTGTTTTGGTTTTTTTTTATCTGTTTTGACCAAATCTTAGGGCTCACTTTATGCTCTTTGATCACCCGCTCACTGGTGCAAGTGCCTAACAGGGCTTGCATTTCTCTGTCCAGCTCCGCTCTGCAGTCCTGGAGGATCGCAGCCACTCGATTCCTCTCCACGTCCACCTTTAGGTGAAGCAGGTGAGACGGCACCTCAACCTGGAGAGCCTGAAGAAACAAAACAAAAGAGTGACTGAAAGCAAACTCGCATTTGGTTTCATTTTATTTTAACTAGTGTGCAGTAATTAGAAACAGACAGCTCCATCTAAGGGTCTTCTTTCTTATTAAGTTAATGAAGTAATGCCAATGTGCCTCAAGAGATGTTCAGCAATTAGTGAGAGTGTTAAAACACRGTGACCCCTGACCTTCCACTGCTTGTGCAGCCTGCGGACAGTTTCCTGCAGCCCCTGTTGCTCTTCTTCAGGGAGGATGTCTGTCAGCTCGTCACACGCCTTCAAAAACATGCTGAGAACGCGCTGGTCCAGCTGGCCGAAGAAGTCCTGCAACACAATAAGGGCAAAAATCTGGCACTTTAAAGGGATCCACGATTAGTTGTAACATTAGACTTTATTTGATAAACATTTATTTTAACTGTAAAAT